ATTTTTTTAAAAAAATTCACCAATATCACACCATAAGAGCCAAGGTGGCACAGTAGTTAAAAGCAGCACTGCAGGCTACTGCTAGATCAGCAGGTTAGCGGTTCAAATCTCACCGGCTCAGGGTTGACTCAGCCTTCCATCCTTCCGAGGTGGGTAAAATGAGGACCCAGATTGTTGGGGGCAATATGCTGACTCTCTGTAAACCGCTCAGAGAGGCCTGAAAGGCCTATGAAGCGGTATATAAGTCTACTGCTATTGCTATATTGCTATTTCTTTTTTTAATTTATAATTTTCTTTATACAATCATATCGTCTTTGCCGCACATTTTACATCTTTTACATATCCATAGTGTTTCCTTTATCTATACATATATATCTAGTATAGCTATATCCTTATCTATATACCTATTTTACACATCTTATTTCATACATAATATAATTTGATCCTCTCATATTTCTTATTTCATCTACAATCTATCTTGTATTTCCCCCTCTTGTTGATTCTGCGGTTTTGTATTTGTTTTGTAGTTTCTTGATCATTCTTCTTCTCTTTGTTACTATCCTATTTTTTTCCTCTTTCTTCTAGCCAATTATACTACAAGTCCCATACTAAGTAGAATTCTGCTTCCTCTTTGTCTTTTAGCTGTTTTGTGAGCTTGTCCATTTTGGCGCATTCCAATTTTTTTTTTATCACATTGTCTTCTGTTGTTGTATGTTTGTTTTTCTAATTCTGTGAATATGAGATTCTTGCTGCCGTGGTTTATATGTGAAATTAGATATTTGATTTTCTTCTCATACTTCCCCTTAATTATTTCTAATAAAAATAGCTCCGGTTTGAATTCTATTTGATGTGCAGGAATCTCTTCAAACCAATCTTTTATTTTTCTCCAATATTTTTTTGCGGCCTCGCACGTCCACCACATATTATAATATGTTCCGTGTAATTGATTACACTTCCAGAAACATTCCAGAAACATTTTTGCAATTCTCGCGGTTGGTAAGTGCCATCTGTAAAACATCTTATATATGTTCTCCCTGTATGCTGTTGCCATTGTTAGTTTATAGTTTGTTTCCCAAAGATTTTCCTATTCTGCCAATTCTATTGTGTATCCAAAACTTGTTGCCCACGCTATCATGGTCTCTTGCACTACTACTTCTTCCATCTTGAATCTTAGTAGATAGTGATAAAATTTTTTGATCAGTTTCTCTTCAGTTCCATGTAGAATTTTGTCTAATTCTTGTGGCTCTTTATAGAATCCATCCGCTTCTCAATCTTTTTTATATCGCACCTGTATTTGTAAATATGGCCACCAATCTATATCTATTCCCTCATTCTTTAATTCTTGCCTTGTTTTTAGTCTTTCCTGATTGTCTAATATATCTTCCTATCTTATTATTTTATTTATAACTATATGTAGAGGTAAATTAATGCTTCCATAGTGGATAACCAAATTGGGATTTTATTGTAGTGGTTTCTTTTAATTTTTAACCATGTTTGAAGTAGGCCATTTCTAATTTGGTATCTTCGAAAGCAGCCATGAGTTTTGTCTTTCCCATTCCAGATAAAGGCATGCCAACCTAATTCTAAATCGTGCCCTTCTATTGTTAGTATTCTCCTATTCTTTAGGTTTATCCAATCCCTTATCCAGGTGAGAGCTGCTACCTGATAGTAGAGCTCCCAATCAGGGAGTCCAAAACCTCCTTTCTCTCTACTGTCCTGTAATAATTTTAACTTAATTCATGGTTTTTTTCCCTAGCCAAATGAATTGTGTTATTAATTTATTTAGATCTGCAAAAAAAAGTTTCCTAAATTTATTGGTATTACCTGGAAGAAAAACAGGATTTTTGGTAAGATGTTCATTTTGACTATAGCAATTCTTCCCATTAGTGAAATTTGCAATTTTCTCAAATTTTCCAAATCTTTAATTTTCTGTATTGTTTTATCATAATTATCTTCTTTGATTGTTGAGCAATTCCCTGTCAGCAAATTCCTAAAAATTTTACTCTTTTTACTATCTGCATTCCCATTGTTTCTTCTAATTCTCTCTTGTCTTTTAGTAAGATTTTTTTGTAATGAACTTTGTTTTGCTCTTGTTAATTTTATGTCCTGCTACTTTACCAAATTCCTCTATTTTTTGAATTAATTTGGTTCCTGCTTCTAATGGCTCTTCTAAAATAAATACTATGTCGTCTGCAAATGCCTGGATTTTATATTCCTCTTTTTAAATTTTTAATCCTTTTATTTCTTGTTTCTTTCTGATTTCTGTTAACCCTCTAATGTTAGAATAAATAATAAGGGTAATAATGGACATCCTTGCTTTACTTTTTTCCAAATATTAAATTATTCTGTGACATCCTCATTACTTATTACTTTTGTCGTTTGTGTCAAATATATTGTTTCAATCAAATGGACATTTCTATCACCCAATTCAGACTTTCATTTTCCGTGGAAAACTTAATGATTAAAAATGAGTTCATTGAAAATGAAATTATGAATAAGATTGATCTGGAATGAAGGAAATACTCAGAAGCATGGATTTCATCTTTATTTTTGATAAAATAACCAAATAGCTGTTCATACACAATACTGAATCATAATATGATTCCATTTTGGTTGGCATTGAGTAGCCTAGTTGCATTCTGCTTCCTTGAGGGTCGTGAACAGAATTTCATAGAAGAGTTCTAAACTGCCAGATTTAAAGTTGACAGATAAAATATAATTTTTTCAGACCACCATACTATCAGTTTGCCCAAACAGATTATTTGCCCAACCATGCACTTTGGAAATAAAATTGGAATATTCCTTTGTTGTCTTTTTCCAAGTCTATATTAATATTCAGACACTAGAGTGAATAGGTTTAACGTTTAGCCCTTGGAGAGAAAACTATGACTGTTTACAAGATGTACTGATACAAGATGGTTAAAATATTCTGTCCCTAACAATTTTTTCATTCTTTCCTTCCCTGTAAAGTAAAATCAAGTATTTTGCTAGCATTTCTTCTCTGCTTTTCTAAGTCATATATTTGTCACAGTGTATTTGTAGACATTTGTCATGTTAATTCTTTGGGGGGGAAATAGGCATCTTCAGAAAGGTTGCTGTGAGACACAATGAGGAAGATTTATTGTAATAATTATAAATTATGGATTTAAAAGCCTAGGGGGTCACCATGACAGCAAGTTGAAGAGCAGGTTATATAGTCAGCAGAAGAGCAAACTTGCATCTGAAAGTTTCAATTTGTTTTTTAAAGTATCATTTATCTTCATTAAAAAGTTTATCCTTATTTTTTATGCTGCTCTGGTTCTTTCTTCAAGAAAGGCAGAATAATATAACAGTTATAGGTTGTGTGGCCTGTAAAGTAGCATTTTTGCATTTAAAAGCCTTGTCTTTCCAAATGGCTGTGATTGCGGTGCTTGTTACTGAACATGGTAGACAGACATTTCCTGCAAGAATAGATTTACAATATATTCAGACACAAGATATTTAAGTGATTTCAGCTGCTGTACCTGCTCTAATCTCATGTTGAAACTGAGCATAGGAAAGGTGAATATGTGCCAAGGATGCCCTCCAGTGGAAAACAGCCCACCCTCATTAGGGTGCAGAAGCGTTACTGAACTTTCTGCTCTGATAAGAATAGACTATTTTCCATTTACCAGTACGGGCTGCTGGTACATCGAGAATGTTTTACATATAACAGAAAACATTAATATCACTATTTTCCCACATCCGATCAAAGTTTTCCCCCATTCTCTAGCTTGGTATTTCGTGGATACAGAAACAATTTTGAATGCATTCTTTATTACTGCAGAGAAAAAGAGTGCTACTTATATCCCACACAACTTGAGAAATGCTGTAGGAAAAGGAGACATCACACCTATATTTTATGTAGCAGTTGCATAACATATGAACAATATATGTGTATTCATAATTAAGACACCCGAATTTAGACTTGTGAGAATCTGGGGCGGGGGTGCGATTGGCAGCTAGGCTGGAGGGAGGGGTCAAGCAAGAGCTGAGCTTGGTGTTATTACACACCTGAAAACAGCTTAAGCACGACCTCCCCAGAATCTATGAAGCTTTATCTGGTCCTTCCCAAAGGAAGTTTGGTGAGATTCTTGTAACATGGGTGCTAAACAATAAAGTTTGAAATCTTATTCATGAGTGGTTTTGGTTGCTTGTCCTGATAGAATTTAACCTGATTAAGATTCTTAGCTATTGAAAGCAGAAGAGCAAATGACAGCTGTTATGAATTGAGGGAATGATATAATAATGGAAATACAAAAAAGATTCTGTTCAGATGT